GATATCTTCAACTCTCTAATTTTGGTGAATATTTTAGTCATTTTTGGTAGAAAGTGATATTTTCGACTTCTTGTTAAAAACTGTAAGTCCGATTGCTTTGATACTATACATATTGTTCATTTTCTGATGATGTCTTCAGTTCTTTAATTGAAATGTGCATTTCTAACAGCGGAGCTATCTCAGCCGATAGGCTGCTTGTTTAATAGTTAAAATAACTCTGTCTCCTTATCAAAAGTGCACCTTGACTGGAGGTGCACAGTCTTAGCTAAGTTCTGCTCTGCAATGGAGGATTACAATTTATGTCCACTACTTTATCTGTAGCAGTTTCGCCCGCACATGAATGTATATCGGCATACAAGCTACATAAAGATGTGGTTTCACAGGAATGAACGCATGCTCAGAACAATGGTTCACATTTCAGAGAGTGGTATAACAATAAATACAAATATGATCACTTTTCAGATTCCAGTGACCTAAGTAAACATGCATGAATTTGAACATTATTGGTAGATGTTATTTAAAAGTTCTCATGATGGAAGCTACTGCAAAGAAAATTAGAAAGAAGCGTCATCACTGTGGACAGTGCGAGAAAAGTTACCAAAGTAAATGTGCACTCAGAGATCACATGAGAATACATACTGGTGAGAGACCTTATCATTGTCAACAATGTGAGAAGTGTTTCGTTCAAGCAATTACTTTGAAAATACATATGAGATCACATACTGGTGAGAAACCTTATCACTGTGAACTATGTGAAAAAAGATTCACTTATCTCAATAGTATGAAAGTACACATGAGAAGACATACTGGAGAGAAACCTTTTCCTTGTGAACAGTGTGATTACAAATTCGCGGACAAAGCTACTTTGAAAATACACATGAGAACACATACTGGTGAGAAACCTTATCAGTGTGAAGTATGTAAAAAAAGATTCACTTATCTCAATGGTATGAGAGTACACATGAGAAGACATACTGGTGAGAAACCTTATCCTTGTGAACATTGTGATAAAAAATTCGCGAACAATGCTACTTTGAAAATACATATGAGAACACATACTGGCGAGAAACCTTATCACTGTCAAATGTGTGAGAAGAGTTTTACGCAGATAGGTAATCTGAGAACTCACACGAGAACTCATACTGGCGAGAAACCTTATTCCTGTGAAATGTGTGAAAGGAGTTTCTCACAAGTAACTAGACTGAAAAGTCACATGAGAACACATACTGATGAGAAACCTTATTGCTGTGAAATGTGTAAAAAGAGTTTCAAACAAATAGACAGTTTAAAACGTCATTTACGAACACATTCTGATGAAACACATCACTGTGCGCAGCGTAAGAATAGTTGTTCGAAAGAAAGTCTTGGAATTCATACACATGATGCTGATAAATCTTATATGTGCCAACTATGCGAGAAATATTTTACACTGAAAGATGATCTAGTAAAACACATAAGAACGCACATTGATGTGCAACCATATTTCTGTGAACAGTGTCAAAAGAGCTACTCTGATCAAAATAGTCTGAGAATGCACATGAAAACGCATGGTGCTCAACAACTGTATTCCCGGGAAGGGCATACGATTTTGTTCCAACAAAGCATGTATAAAAGATTCATGAAGGTACATACTGATAAGAAATTGAAGGCTAAAGAAACACTCACTGTCAAGATTCCAATGTACAATTCAACTTCAATTAGTGAGAGCAACGTTCAACCATTATGTAGTGAATTGGAGATTTGCAAAATAGGACAAAAGGTGGTAAACAAAAAAGGAATAGAAACCTTTCAACTAGCGTATTCATTTTGTAGTTACTGAATTTTCACGATCATGTGCAATTGATAGTGCAGAATTGTCATTTTTTTTATATTGAACAAAACAATATGACATTGAATTTGTTTATGAACTATAATTGTAGGTGCTGGTCACATGCACTGTTATTCAGAGCTTTCTGAAAATTCATATTTGCTTTTAAATCAAACACATCAAATTGTCATGATAATTACTAATGTGATTTATATAATACAGTATAATATGAAATGTACCTGGTGACACAATAAACAAGAAATTGTTTAGTCTGTCAGATTGGAAGTTCATTAATCGCTATGTCAGTCTTACAGCTTTTGGCAAGAATGTGTACATAATAATTATATTTATTGATTTCCATTATAATGCATATTACAAATATATAAACATGAGATGTGAACACACGACCATGACAAAGCACTGTTGTCTCGAATACTAATCACTCTGTTCAGATAAAACTTATTAATAGACTTTAATGGGACAATTGCAATATGATAATTACTAGTATTTGAGTTTAAGATATGTATATCAGCTTGTGCTTTTCATTTGATGATAATCAATGGATTTTGATGCACAAATATGCACATTTGTATGATGTCAATGTATGACTAATTAAATTTGAAATAAATATACTGTTTTTAAAGTGTTCTATGTGATTTTGTGCCTTGTATGTGTGACACAAGACACTAAGAAGAACTTTTGTTTTGTTTCACTGATATAACAGGAAATACTTTATTAGACTGCATCTCATAGACTGCATCCTAATGGGCCAACAAGACCATAAAAATGTGATGTCCAGCATAGATAGAATGCCATACATACCCCAAACTTGTGCTCAAGGTCACTTCAAGCCCAAGTCAAAACAAGGAGGGTCTCCCAGAAAGAAATGCCTGTCATCCAGCCACATTGATTACCGTTAGTGTACAACCCTTGTTTCTGACAAAGGGCTTGATGTCACGTTGTTCACCAGCCAGTCCCTTGCTTTGAGAACGACTGCAGAGCTGCCATTGGAGAGAAGCAGAGAAAGGCGAAGAACCCCATCATCACAGTACCAGTCCCCAATTCATTATTTCTCTGCAGCCACTGTGGTAGCATGTGCATGTCACGCATCAGCTTTTTTAGTTGCCTTGGGGTTTGGGTATGTGCAAGAATGTTAACGTTATATGGATAACTCTACAAATAATAAGGCAAATGTAGAGACTGATAACAGTATTTGACTATTGAACTCAAATAGCTGTGTCACAAACAGCCTGGTTGATGCGGACTTGTAATTTTAGGGTAAATTGTACTGCCAAGACTCCAGCATGGATCTTTGCATTCTGATTAAATGCCTTAGCTGAGTTAGTGGCAAAGAAACAAGACTTCTGTGCTGATCTAGTTTAACTACTCCACATAGGTGTGCATTCAATGGTTGTTAGCATCTAGGATTCAAGCTACCAGGAAGTGGTGCATCTGAATGAATAACAACATACTGAGGTGGCAGCTGACTATTTTAAAGGCTGTGTTTTTTCATTGAAGCACATGACCTTCTTTCTGTGGGGATGGTGGTGTTTTTTTGTAATCTATAAATTGTAAACAATGTCATCTATGTGTGCGAACACAACCCCAACCAAGAATAGAAAGTTGATACTGTGTCAACTGAGGTGGTACAAGAGTATATATTGCACCAAGTACACTGTATGTGCCAGTTAAAGTTTTTGGAATAGCTGCTTCTTTTTGTTTAGATACTTGGACAACCAATAGTATAATTTCAGTAGAATTTATAGTAAAGGAATAGAAATAGAATTGTTCAGCACTCAAGTGTGTCTTAATAGTTGAATTTTAGTTCTCAAAACATTGGTTGGGAAGTTGATCTACCAATAAGGGTTGTTAGTAAGGAGGTAGTGATAGTTGTATTAGTAGCTGATATCAGAATTAATAGGTTACTGGGAATGGATTTTCATGAATAAAACTGATTGAGGTAACAAGGGGATGTGTAAATGGTGAAGTGATTCATTCTGATTTAAAATACAGAACAGAACCAACATGTGCCCTCGTTGATTAATTGATTAAAAGTGATGATTGGGGTATTGTAGAACAGGCAAAAATACTGGTAATATGGTACGTTTCGAACATTCTTAGGATGAGAATGGTACAGTGAATGTGTTTGACGAGACAAATAGATGACTCCCTTGAAGGATTGGACATTTTACTACAGAAGCTGAGGAATACAGGTCTTAAGGTAAAAACAAAGAAATTTTATTTATTTAAACTTACTGTAATTTATTGAGAACCTAAAACTTCCCCTAAAGGAATTGAGACTGATGCAGATAAAGTGAAGGCAGTCCAAGGTTGGCCAGTTCCAAAGAGAGTAAAAGACGTTTGTCAATTTCTTAGATTTGTATCTTACTATAGACATTTTATAAAAGATTTTTATCTCAAAGTCAAAAATGGAATAGAAAAGGATCATTTGATATGCAAGTAAGGCATTGTTCAAATATGAGCATAAAGTACTTTTGATAGGTACATTCGTAGGTCCGATCATGGTGCTCATGGTTAAGGAACTTTAAGAAGCCAGTGGGACAAGTAGCTCGCTGGATTAAATATTAAGATACCTATGACATGAAAATAGACCATAGGACACGTAGAAGTCACCAAAATACAGATGTAGTATGTCAGAAAGAGAACGTGATGCAGTTGAATTTTGTAAATTCAATGATAAATGATGGCGTTCCTGGAGTAGTTTGGTCATCTACATAGGGTTGACTCTGAAGAGAGGTCAATTGGTATGGCTATTCAATCAGCGGAGAAAGAGGGTCTCAATTAAATTTCGACCAATTAGTTTATAATATCTAAGTTGTCTGATGTGCTATATAGAATTCCGAAACCATATACAGGTGATTCAATACATAGTTGTTTAGAACCAACTTATGATGGTTATTAGTCTAAAAAAATAGAAATAACCTGGTGTGAAGTAACAGCAACTTTTCTGGGTCTCAAATTTATTTAGATACCTTTGTGTCTCTGCTCGATTACTCGGAACTTACTACAATAACTTAATCAACTGCGCACAACTACCCCTTTTCGTATTCCCATTGTCTGGGAGAACTACGATGTATACACCATAGGCTTGACTTTATGTGTCAGCATGTTAATTGTGATATGGATATGTAGTATTAAATCCACATTGTTATTATTTTATTTGAATGCATGTGAATGTGCTTTATTATATCAGTCTGCTCCTATAAAAGTTCCATCTTGCCTTCCCGACTCATTCAGTGACCATTTTGAAATCTTAGCCATGACCGCCAAATCACATCTACAATTAGCTGCAGTTCTGTAGTTAATCTACAATACATGAATGACTATCCAACACAAAACGAAAGTACTGTAAATTACATGATTCTGGTTTTCTTGAAATTTCACACAATTTGAGCAGTTAACAAAAATCACGCAGATGGTCGTCACATCTCCTATTTTATAAATGTATGACCAAATAAAGCGATTTTAGAGAATAGCCTTAACCATTCGCAGGATGATTTGACTAATATAATGGAGACATTATATATGATAACCCTGTTTATACAAATATGATTTCAAATGATATTTGTCTGGTGTGGACATCAGGTTTCGAATAGAAACCACTTGATATGGCGGTGCCATATGTGAAGCAGCATGTATTCATTCTATTGTAATCACTTTACATCGCGTCTTTACATACCTACTAAATTATATCCATATAGGCATATACATTCAGTGCTATATTGAAAGTAGATTACCATATATGGTCATGTGACCTGATCAATATGCATAACTGTTATGCACTGTTGCATTACAGTATCATGCAACCAGTGCTGTAATGAAGGCATCAGAGAAGAGATATAACTAATGCATCAGATACGATACATTATATATGTCTATATAACCCCAATAATATGCATGATTAGCTCCGCTGTCGACTTTGTCGAGCGGAGCTTATCATATGAGTGATTGTCCGCCGTCGTCCGTGTCAA